TGGTTCAGTGAAAGCCTCACATTTCAAAGAGAAATCGCACATCAGTCCAAACCACTAAAAGCTGCAAAAGGTAAGGAGTTAACTCCTGAATAGTATACGTAATAAGGAATCCCAAAAGTTGACCTACTAGCTCTTGGTTGTAAAATGCATATATAAATTCCTAATAAGACACATTCTTTCCTAATCATTGGCGATAACACCACTCCTTCAATCAAATATCCCTTCTGCTCAAGAATTGGCAGGCAGGAAGATGAAGTTTCCACAGTGATTTATTGTTCATTATTTTTACAATGTTTTCATGAAGATAATTCACATATTTAAAGATCCTCCAACATTCAAAAGGCACCATCAGGCATTATCCCTTTAAATGACTGGCATTTTACCATCACTAAAGTTCTTGTTTCTTTTCTTTAAATAACACTGATGAACCAGTGGCAGCAATTTCCCTTCTTCGTGAAGCCGATGAGTGTCAGTTGCTCCTCCAATAAAAGTTCCATTGACAAATATTCTTGGCACCTGTTGGATAAACAAAGATTAAATGTCACCCTAGTGTCAGAAGTAAAAGACCATTTCACATAATATTCAATGCTCGCACTCTGGCTACTTTTATGGGCCAAGCACCATACTAAACTCTGTCACAGATTACCTATTTCAACCTTTACAACCCTTGAGTTAGGTACAGTTTTTAGCCTTGTTTTGGAGGAAAAGGAACCACAGGAACAAGAGCACAATGACAGTAAATGCCAGGGCTGGGATTTATTTAAATCCAGGACAATCTTTCTCTCAAGGTCTTCCTCCAAAGCACGATGACACAAAGGAGGTAAAACAAAGCAGCCTCTAATTATTAATAATGTTTAAGTTTCTTACGGTTGTTTACTAAAGGGGAAGAGTATACTCAACTTCTTCTATGCACAGAGAAACGAAGGAAAATGGCAACATTATATATTTTTCAGATAATGCATATTATGGAAAAATCCACAAATGTCAAGAATCTAAAACCACGGGGCACTAATGCAGTCCTGTTGGCACAGTAACTGAAGACGGATGCCTGATCTGTACTGTCCAGGGGAGGGGAGGAAGGCTACTCTCACCCTGAGAGGAGTTCCGGGAAGCAGTCACGCCAACATCATTACCCCACCCATCCCAGTCAACACACACACATGCGTGCACACATGCACGCAAGAATAAAAATAAGAGGAATGGGTTCTGCTGTTTCCTCGTCTATAAATCCGGTTCCCAGATCTGCCATTTCTTTACCAACACAAGATTCTCAGAGAATGTCTGGCTCCCTCTTCCTACCTAACACGAGGGTCTGGGCTCTAGTGACCCAGGTCACCACCTNCCCCCAAAGCCTAGAACCTTGGGAAGCCCTGACGCGCCCCCAGAAAAGCCGTACAGGAGCCGCCCCACATCTGCAGCTGCAGTAACCTGTGGTCAACCCTGGTCCGAACATACCAGGTGGGAAGCCGCGGCCGTCCCGCGCAGCGCGGCGAGGTCTCGCGTGGCCTTGCGTCCTGCCGGAAGTCCACGCGGGAGCGGGCCGTGGCGCCTCAGGCCTCGTGCCCAGCGCCCTGGCGCTGCTGCCCAGTGGCCCCAAGGCGCACAGCCGCGGTGCTGGCCTTTCGGACACGCACTGACGCCGCAAGGGCCCCTCGCAGCGACAAGGTGAGTCCAGGGCGTCAGGTTGGTGAGCGGCCTGAGTCCCGTAACTTCCAGCATCGTCGTGGCGGGACGTGGGGGTCGAAGGAGCGGCCTCCCACGCCTGTGTCCACGGTGTCAGACTCTGAGAACGAAGCCGTGGAGCTGGCCCTGCGGACCGGGTCTCCCGCAGGCGTCCAGGTGGGGCCGTCGTCACACTGGGGGGGGGGGGTCCCCCAGGTTGCAGCGACAGGGTGAGGGGAGGCGCGCAGAGGCTGAGAAAAGGGGTGACAGGCCCGTGTCCAGCGTGCCAGGCCGGGCTGGTGAGACCATCAGGAGGCGAGGCTTCCAGGGCTCCCGGGCGAGCGC